ATGTATATATGTATACGTATATGTATATGTATATGCATATGTATATGTATATCTATATGCATGTGTATGCAGGTAGGTACGTATGTATGTATGTATGTATGCATGTATGCATGTATGAATGTGTATCTCTCTACACAGAAAGGTACGCAGAGGAGAGGGGGCCGTTCCCCTCTCCATAAAGGTATATGTATATATAGATACATACACACACACACATTTATATATATATATATATGTATATTTGTCTTTTATATATGCACATATGTACGTAGGCGTCCGCCTGCATATGTATGTGTACATGTGTGATTATGTGTGTGTGGATAGATGGATAGGTTGTTAGATTGGTGGGTAGATCGATAGATACAGCTCTGCATGTATATGTGTAGGTACACACATACATCCAAAGACAGGTGGATATGCATGTACGCACACTCAGAGGTAGAATACATAGTTGAATAACTCTGCGAGATCGAAGCTGGCTACGAAACCACAGCAGGTAGCTCTGGAAACCCGTGCCGCAATCTGTAGAGCTTGTCCCTCATAACCGCCATCATGACCGCCATCATGATGAACATCTTCTTTGTTGCGCAGGCAGAAAAGTAGTCGCCATGTTTGATTATTTGCATTGCCACGACCATTGTTCCCTTGTCAAGTTCGTTTCTGTGCTCCATTTCTGCTTGGTGCTGAATTTTTCTTTCTGCCTCCCGCCAAACTAGGGAGTTGTGGATTCCTCCCAGACCCGACAATCCTTGTGCCCTGAACCTCGAAACTATGCCCTTATACTAGTCGTAACCCTTATGCACAGTAGCGAAAGCGAGCCTATATGTGTATATCTGGGTGTATATATAGGCATACATATGTATATTATTGATGTACGCATACATACATACATACATACATACATACATACATACACCCACCCCCACACACACACATATTTGCTAGAGCAATCCTATGCGCATTGAGCAGTACTAGACCCGATACAGGTCCCTTGTAACACCTTTGCGAAACCCTGCCCCCCCCACATGCCTGCGTAGGCCCGGCCAGCGCCCTCCAGCGCGCCCATCAGCGCAGCCTCCGCCGTGGCGATCTCCGCCGGCGCCGTCTACGCTGACTCCCTGCGAAAAAAGTTAAGGGTTGTTGGGATTTGGGGGTTTCGGCAGTTTACGGTTTCGGGCAGTTTCTGATGTTCGGGCTTGAAGATGGGGGTTAGCCGTAGAAGCCATAAAGGGAGTCGTGAGCAGGGGCCCTGTCGTGGATAATCCCGCTCGGGATTTGAACTCGTTGCTGCGAGAACAGCGGCTTCTGTAGATGGTGCCTCTTGTCGTGCAGAAGCAGCGGTTGCTGTTGCTGTTGCTAATGTTGCTATTGTAGGTGCTGCGCTGATGTTGTTGTGTAGTGCGAGGCTCTAGAGAGACAGCCCAACTTCGGAGAAGCGACATGGAGCGTCTGCTCAGAGCAAGCAAGACGCATGTTTCCTGTTTGTCCGGCATGCCTGCGCCGGTGCATTGTTTTTATGTCCCTATGCTTGTTTTTTTTAATGTCCGTATGCTCAAGAACCCAAACCGAGCACAAAGGCACAGGTAAACTCAAGCTTGCCTGAGCCACAAATCTAACAATGGACCCTAAACCGAACAATGTGCGACGAAGGCCAACAGCAGCCGAAAGGTGGCCGCAAAGGCCCAGGTCACAGCGTCTTCTGGCCGATGAGATGGGACAGCGGAGCGGTTTGGGGTTTTTAGGCTTTCGGGTTGCAAGCTTCAGGGTTGAACGTATCAGGGTTTACGGGTTTAGAGTTTAGGGTTTACTGGACACATTGGGTTCGTGGATGCTAAACTCTGCTGCTGTTTGCACTTTCCGTTCACCGCGGCATGGCTCATGGTCCTTGAAGGTGCTTTAGGGCTACAGGAATTCAGGGAGTAGGCCCTTAGGATTTTGCGGTTTTTTGTGATTACAGGATTTTGAGGTTTCGGGCTTGGGGTGTGTGAGCCGGGGTTCATGGCTATAGGGATTCATGCAGTGTTCATGGCGTAGAAGTTTGGGGAGTAGGGCATACGATCTGGGGCTGCGAGAGTTGAGGCTTTAAAGTTAACGGTTCTGATCTAACCCTAAACCCCTAAGCCCTAAGCCCTAAGCCCCTAACCCCTAAACCCTAAACCCCTAAACCCCTAAACCCCTAAACCCTACGTAAACCCCTAAACCCTAAACCGGGGCTTACGGCCCTCGCGACTTCAGGGCTGAGCTCAAGGTGGTCCGGGGTGCTCCAATCTAGGGGCCGTAATAATTAGAATAGGGTCTGGGG